TCAGACAATCTCCCATTCTCCAGGCTGGATAAGACTGGGGATCCACGGGCCGCATGCCAGCGAACGGTGACAAATACGCAGCTTGATTATTGATAGATTTATGCAGCCAAAGGGGGGTTTTATTGTGAGGATATAACTTCCATATCGTGTAATGCAAGCCGCATATAGAGATGCGTACCAGTATATGGGCATGTTGCTGGCGGAGAGAGACCATATGCATTGGCCTCACTAACCCTAGCGCAGGTCATTTCAGTAATATCAGATACTCTGTAGTTCTCAAACATATATATCAATTTATCCAGATACTCCGGTGTCATATATCTGGGTTTGTGTCTATGCTCTCTGTTCGCGACTAGAATCCTTAGCAGATAGAAAATCGGCCAGAATGGATGTGACTTGCATGTCTCCTCTTCAATGTAGTCGAAAGACTAGAAAACATCCGACGAGGCACAAAAACAGTCTTGGCGGATGTTTCGGAACGAAAGCCACGTTGAGCCCAGTAAATAAAGCCTCAATGTCTGAAGAGACTGTAGCCCAATCACTTGAGATTCAACATTCCCATATGAATAAAGAGGCCATAACGTTTGTGACCATGGCATATGCTTCACTATATCAACGGTCAATCTAGTCGTCAATGCGACTGCATTTCGGTATGCTCGAGACGGCGGGACGGACTTATTACGCAGGTACAATGTCGCCTGTAAAAGCCGACAGTCCCGACAGGCTGGAACAATCCTATATTCCGGCTCGGAAGATTGATCGTGGAGCATCAAAGCAGAACACCAAGCGTTGAAGTTGCATCGTCAAGGATGGCATGCTAGCGATTATCCAAGATGATTATCCACAGGTCCCTTGATCTAAATCATTCTCCATGGGGTTATAGCATCGAGTATCCTCGAAGCAACGGAGGGTTCAACAATGCAATGGGTCGACACATCTCTTGGCAGCCAAGAAGATGGATGACAGATTAGGGACAGGCCTGTCCATCAGAGATGCATGCCGAGATCAGAGAGGGACTTGAACACATCGTGCTGGCAAGGCCAGAGTCTGCCTTGCCAGAAGAGCCCTGAAGCCTGTTTGAAGCTATGATACAGTAAGTTAGGGGCTGGTTGGCGAATCGACCCGCTGCCATGTTCCTTGCTTTAATCGCGTTAATTACGGAGTATTGTGCTTTCTTTTTCACAGCCGGACCAGAATCGAATGCCGGTATTTCTTGCGACTTGGCTATCCCATTCGCTGCCTCGATGAGTTTCAGACTTTCATCATCGATCTCGTGCATTGGTGTTCTAGTACGTATCGATCTCGGAATTCTAGGAGCTTCGCGGCCCTTTTATGAAGGAGGTTGATATAACCCACAGGTGACATTTGACCCCAAGGGTAGACCAGACGGAAGAGCGAGAGGCATTTAATATGGACGTCGACAAAAGGGGCAAGTCCATAACTATCACCGTCCAGTATGTAACTTAATGTATGCACGGAGTAGGAGCCCAGTATTTTGTGCGAACCCAGAAATGGGAGAATAATCTTATCGGAAGACTGCACAAAACAGGAATTGTGCATTTTCCTAAGTTAGCATAACCCAGGCTTGCATGGTCCGTGGGCCGAACAAACAACTCAAAATCGGTGGAGTTGGGATCGATTCAGCTGAAAGTGTCTTTTTGAACAAGATCGATTTGCATTCGAGACTCCTGGGTTGCAAATTTTCTCTTCTGCTTCAGCTTCGTCTTTCCAACTGGTTTCGGCTTACAGAGGCTAGTCAATAAATCTTCAGTTTCGCCTCGACGGTTTGGCTATCAAGTGGTAGCAGACGGCGTTTCCATTTGCTGTTTCAATTGGAAGCCGCCGTATTCTCCTGTCACAATGCATGTGAGAATATGTTCGTTCTGTTTCTCAATGGTTCAAAACATCACAATGGATGAGTATATTCAGATGTGACGACTTGGGTTCATCCTTGCAGGTATTCCATCAACCTGTGCAGGGCCAGATACCGAGACACTGGTTATTGTTGGTTGGACGAGGCAAGGCACGATCGTATTAATGCAGGTCCAATGACATAAGTCCGCTAGTCGAAAGAAGGTGGTCGCTGTATGCGATAATCCATTTGCTCAAGTCAAGCATATCAGCTGCCTTGAAGCCATCGTGCCTTGCTCTCGACTCTCATTGTTGTGGTGGGGACTTTGATACACCGAAATGACCGCTGACTTATCTGCGATCTGTTATTTTGAGAGAAGCTATTCCCTGATTTGCAGTTCTCATCACTTGATCGCACCGTCGTATACGGAGTAGGTCTATTAAGCGCTTTCCAGGAATAACCTGCGGGTCGTATTCTGACTGGACCGTCAAAGTTCAGCAACAACAAGCCTCGTGAGACACGTGGACCGATACGGTGGTGACCACAGGTAATTAGCTGACGCGCACCTCTTGTGGAGTGAGTTAACCCACACAGGAAGCACACATTATTTGCACAGATTTTGCACAAAGTGTGATCAGACTTGTGAAAGCTTCCAGACCAAATACCTGCGTGGCCGCGGGGTGCATTGACATGCAAATGAATGTTTGAATCCCCACTTAGAGGTGGATTGTCGTCAGCTTCGATCAACTCAATCGCTAGAAGCCTGTCTAGCATCGATGAGCGTAGTATATCTCTTGGCAGGACGGGTAGAATGAACAAGTCCCTCATAGTGTTGTTATGAGCTTCGGGATGGCGTCCTCAACAAATAGTTGGCGTCGGCGTTGCCATTTCAAAGAAAATGTGTGAGTAATACTTGCAAGTGCCGTGGTTAAAATGGATAAATTCTTTAACAGCCATGGTGCCTCAAAAGCAGGCCGAGCATGGCCAAGATCTGCGGTATAAAGTCCATTTTAGGAAGATGGAGGGTGAGATACGTACTGGACTATGCCGTTCCTGAATATCATCCACAAATTGGTCGTGAACCCTACGTGAGTAAGGTTTGCACCTGTTTGAAGAAGTCGATACTAATGGAAAGCAAATGCCAAAAGTTCGCGGCCATGGATGTTTGAGCGATTGATGCTCACTGACGGTGCGGTCCAGAATCGAGAGCGATAGGTCCCTCATGATTTCGGAACCGGTGTCAAGCTCTCTTTCAAAAACAAAATAGAAATTATGATAAAACGCGTGTTCCAATGGCGGTAGCACATTCCATATCTCAAGTTAAAACCCAGGTGTTGGATTGGATGAGGCGGCTTGCCCGCGGGCGGGTTCAGCGGTCGTAGCGGTCGCAGCGCCTCTGGTGGTCCCCTGGTAGATGTCCGGAGTGCAACGTCGCAGGGGCGTGTAATTGTTCAGGGGGTTGAATTTGATGAAATCCAGGAGAAGGTTGGATGGAGTGGTGGGGCCTAAGGGGGCAAGAAAACGCCGAACCTTGATATGGGGTGTCAAAATAAACATGGCAAAGAGAAACCTAAAGTTAGGCTAAGCTGACCTGAGTATTTTCATCACTTAGGGTTAAGGTCCTGAGTTTTCTTTCCTCCCCTCGTGGGGTTTGAGTGAGGAACTGGGCTTTGGTGTGAGCAATAAGGTACCAAGATGGTGCTCTCAGGAACGAGGCATGAATGAAATCAAAGACTTTTCTTCTTCAAAGGGCCGAGCTTGCTTGAAGTCGCTCACATGCTCATGATCGAGTGTTGATGGCACTTCTTTCTTGATGCCTCTGTTCCTCCAAATCTCGCAACTCAGTAGTTCATGCCTGATATCTTTGCGCCAGGTCACAATATAACCATACTTGTTGTTGTCATCCTTTGGTCTCACTGCAGTTTTATCTGAATCTGTGCATCTTCCGTCAAAGTTGGAAGATGTTTCCGTGATGGTGTGGTTTCGAGTTTGTGTCGTGTAACTCAAAGGAAGGGACAGGTCCGTCCGTGTGTATAATCCAAATGCGGTTAGTGTAGCGGCAATTGTGCACTATATTATTCAAAGTTTGTGCAACTGGCAGAGACTGCACAAAACGGGCAAAAATTGCACCGTTAGTCGCTGAGCTAACAGCCGTATCCAATGAGAGCCCTGGGCTTTCTGGCCTCCTACCTTGAGGAAAAGAGTTTGGGTGCACAACATCGGGTGGTTTAGCGGTTGATAGCGGGTTGTCCGTCAAGATTTGAGCTTATGCTATGCATGATTTTGTGCAAAAGGAGAAGCCAGGCCTTCCCAGTTTATCCACCTGCTACCAGAAGATGATCCCAAAATGGTGGCCGGTTCCCTGCTAAATCCCTGACAGCGTCTCCACTAAATGGCAAGTACCCCCCTGCACCCCCTGGTCCTTTGTCTCTCCAGCTCGTGCAGTTACTGGCTGGTGCGCTGAGGGTCCTGGTCTTGCTTGGCTTTTGGCTCTGGATCTCCCCTTCGCTGAGCGTCTTGTCCCTTTCCCTTTCCTGTCCCCTCTGACTCGCTTCGCTTCGCTTTACCTTCCATCTCCTGTTCATTGCACTCCATCCTCTCTTTCAACAAAAACAAGCCACTACCTCAGGCCGCTCGCTCGTTCCAGTCCCTCTTTCATTTCCCCCCACACTTTCAAAGCGTTTGTTCTTTCTTCCTCTTGACTTTGAAGCGTATCGTGATTAGCATCGCGGTGGTCTCTTTTCATCGTCGAGTTATTTTTCTTGTTCAAGGCATCTTGATCTTCTTTGTTCATTTGCCTCGCCTCGTCTCGCCTCCTCTACCACGACACATACGATCGATACCTCTGGCCTCTTTCATCACCGTCATCTATCTATTCACCACTCGACGGCACTGCTGGATCAAGCCATCGACCATCAACGGCTTCTGTGCAAATACTGCAAAGGGTCAATAGTCTGTTCGCTATCATCGACGACGAGGAACAAGTGCTGCCAGATAGTCGAATATTTGGCCCCTTTCGCACGCCCATCACATTCGACTTGCCTCGATCCATATCCATCTCACTGGGGGTTCTTATCAGCGATCAGTATACGATACTCGTACACTACTGCTGTATATTCGCTCAAAACACTCTTCACACATGTTCACCATGAAGACTTCAGGACTCTTGGCATTGGCCATGGCGGGTGCCAGCCTTGTATTCGCTGTAGACCTGCAAGAGCCTGCGCAGACTCCCGTCTTAGACCAGCAGACTCGTCAAGGCTGCTTCAAGTCTGTTGGTAACATGACACAAGTATTTTCGGGCACGAAAACATCAAGTGGTTATTGTTTCAACCTATGCAAGAAGAAATACAACGCTTTCGCACTGCAAGGGTCGGCGTGCTATTGCGGTATGCTCTACCCTCCAGATGACGACCTGGTCGACGACGATAAATGCAACTGGCCGTGTCCTGCTTATCCTAAGGAGGCATGTGGTGCTCTCAAGACATATTATTCGATTTTCAACACTGGCCTCGAGCTAGCACCCGACAGCTATAAGCCGGAAGAGTCTTCAACAACCGCTGCTCCTTCATCTACTAAAGCCGCTGAGAGCACTGCTGCCGAGGAATCTGCTGCCCCAACAGGAAGTCAGGATGCTGCTACTACTTCGGAAGCCCCTTCTGAAGAGAAGAAGAGTGGCCCCAACGTGGCCGCCATTGCCGCTGGTGTCGTTGTGGGCGTGGTCGTTGTTGCTGCTATTGGAGGCGGTGCCATTTTCTTTGTCCGCCGACGACGCAACGCTGAGATCGAGGAGGAGCACCGCCGAAACGCCGCCGTAAACGCTTTTATCAATGGCTCTAAGCCACCTGGCAGCAGCGGCAGCATTTCCATGACTGATTCCCGCCTGGATCCTGTCATGGCTCACCGACGACTCAGTGATGGTAGCATTGCTGATAATCAAGATTACTCTCGAAGAATTCTACGGGTAAGTTAATAGTGTGTGTCGGAATACATCCGCGTTTTACTGACTTGAGATTAGGTTACCAACGCTTGAGCGAATCTTGAGTCTAGGATCTTCAATATCAGTTACTTTCCACCCATTATTTCACCATCGGCATTTACGGCGTTTTCGGGATGATAGCTCATGTGTATTTGCCAATCGATCACTCCCGACGATTTGGCGGCGTTTGACTCTTTTCTGGGCGTAGGACTAGACATTTCTTCTACTATTTGCGTCTGCGGAATTACGACTGGATTTGATCAATCACGCTCTACGGCACACTGGCTTCACCTGCGCCATCCACTCATTACCTCCTTTTTCACAACTAAGCCTTGAACGAAACGACTGGAGAAGATGGGAATAATGCCGCAAGTGCCCTTTTTAGATGCCATCTTTCCCTGGATCCGTTTCACTATGGATGTCGTCTTCGTGTAAGGGTATTTCAAGCGGCAATCATACCCGCGTGTAATCGGCACGTCTGTTTTCTTTTCTTCATGACTGGGAGTCCTATGTCTCCTGTGTACAAGTTCTCCCTCTATTTGTTGAGTAGGGCAGGGTTGAATCTAAAAATAAGGGGGCGAGAAGTCCTCTTGGGATATTGGTCAGGGTGCGATGGAGCGAGTTCTCACGTAGATACAATGGGACGCGGGAGATGTGCCAACCTCGTGGAGGAGACATCACGATTGGGAGGTTGGCAGATAGTGCGGGATATCCTATCGTCGCTTTATTTACTTTTTCACTTGACCGTTATCTTTTCCCTATCATTGACCGATGATCGTGGTGGTCATGGTGTCGCCTGTATGTAGGGTTGTGCATAGTCATATACCACCACTTAGGACTTGAGATGCTGGTTCATTGACTGAGTCTTTCGCTTGATATCATTGTTGAGGTAAGCTGCTGTTTTAGGTTTATACATATACCCTGGGCAAGCTGTTGGGTGCCATTTGTCTACATTGTGTGATGGTAGTGAATGTGGTTTTGTTGGTACTGGCTCTCGACCAGGCATGTAACTAGCAGTATAGGTAATTCCCTCCCTGATTGCCTCACTTGTAGGATACTTCGTGTTCACGATGCAAATACTCACAGAGGTACCCGTTCAATTAGGGTCAGTCCAGATGCCCGGTCTGAACTTTTGTTAGTGTTTGGGTAAAGTGCTGCAAATTCTTGTAGCATCCCAAAGTCTTTATTAGTGTTACGACTAATGTTGCAATGCCGTCTTGAGTGTCCTCGGTTGTCGTCTGTAATAACTAAATCATACATTCCACTGACGGAAGCCCGCGCAGGTGAATAAGAGGAATGGGACCACGGCACAACCTCTTAGAGAAGCAAATAGAAATTAGGATTGCATTAAAACAAGTAAATAGTCTGTGGCATGATGAAAAGGACTGCCAAAAATCTGACCGAAAGTGACAATATGAGGGTTAAACTTGAAGGCCATCAACTTACCTTAGGGTAGGTAGGTAGGAGTCGAGCGATTGAGCTCAGAGCGGCTACCACGTGACCGCGGAAGCTCAAGCTTGGCGCGATGCTTGTCGCGTTGGAAAAGTTCCCAGCCTGCAAACATCAACTAACGGCAAACAAACAAAACAATTCGCACACTGTATACACAACGAGAACCAACCCAAATTCCCGAATACTGAGCTAGAAATCTATAAACAAGAACAAATATCAGTCCTTATAGGGCTTACTGCCCGAGCTCAAACTCAACATGAGCTCTATCCCAGCTCCTCGAATTCGTCGCACGGCGCAAAACACACAATTCACGTAGGTGAACCTAGTTTTCGACCGACATTCGGCCCAATGAATTCCTTCTTATTTTTATAGATATAACCTTTCGCGACGAGTAAACGATGTTCAAACCTATCCGGTTTACTCTCCACAAGGAGCGACCATCCTGATATACGGTCACGAGAACGGTGTGACGATCGCATGGCGAGGAGGCAAGCGATTTAAGGCTGTGAAGAAGGCCCCGCCTCAACCCGAAAAGCAGAATGGAAACACAGACGACTCCATTATGATCATCGATTCGGACGACGACGAACCACCAGCCAAGTCCAAGACAGCATCTCACTACGAAGACAAACCGCTGTTCGAAGACGAGATTGAGGATACCCCCTTTCCGGAGATCGTCCAGACACTGGACCTGGCGCTTGGAACGGCGGTCTTGAAAGTTGCGGTCATGCCCATGACCCCAACATCAGCAGATGATGCTGCCTGGGGAGGTGCCAAAGTCCTAACTGAAAAGATGGTATTTGCTGTGTCTTGCGTAACCAACGACATCTACGTCATTACACTTCCTCTTACTCCCCCGTCACCAGAGAGCAAGGCAAGATCAGAGCTCAGGAGCGATCTGCTGGCAGGCGAGGCTGGATCTGGAGCTTGGGGAGAGTCGCTCATCCTGCTTGGTGGCCAGAACAGACACAGCGAGGGTATTGCCATTAACCTCATCATGCCCACTGTCACAGAGCGACCTGGCACAAAATCCAGGGCAGTCGTTGCCTCGCACTGCAGAGAGGCTTCCGGTGTACTCCGGTTATGGGATGTACCACTAGATGCTAGTGATAAACCTGCCAGTCCTGTCGAGTCTTTCCAGACCGAGTATTTGCCCAACCCTCTGACAAGCATATCCTTCAACTCTACACATACGACGCAGCTGCTTGCTGTCTCTGCCTTCCAGGGCGTTCGGATCTACGACTTTGCACGACCCTCTTTCACCGCCACAGATGCCACAGGGCCTTTCCCTCTGCAGGGCTCGTGGCTTCTCTCCATGTACCAGCCCTTTTCTCGCCCTTCATCAACAAGGAAACCAATAATCGACGCTGCTTGGATAGCACACGGCCGCGCCATCCTAGTCCTCCTCGCCGATGGCATGTGGGGTATCTGGGACGTTGATGGTGCCAGTCCTACTGCACCAGGCGCTATCATCTCAAATAAAATGCAGCCTGGGGTCAAGGGAGCCGCCTTGACGACCTTCAGTGTTTCTGGCTACGTCGAGGGGACAAGCTCACTTAGGAGTGTGACAACCCAGAACAAGGAGCACAGCACTGGAGACTTCGCCCCTATGACACCTCACACTCGACGACAGGCTACTGCATCCCTGAGCTCTGCTATCACACTTGACCGCCTGGCTACTATCCGAGGTGGCATCAAAGTGTTGTCTCTACCATCAAGTGGTAGCGCCATTCAAGATGAGACCGTGGTTTTGTGGGTTGGTGGCCTCGAGCATGTGTGCGTCATCCCTGGAGTCACGCGCTTCTGGGATTCTCAACTCCGAAGGGCTGCTGGAACAGGCGGAGATATTTTCAGCGGAGCCCAACCGGTAAAGATGATCAAGCTCATGGATTTGGCAACTGGCCTGCTGGGCGAGAGATGTTGCGGAGTTGGCCTGCTGATTGAGCCTGATCACAGTATTATCGCACAAGATGGCGGCCTCCCTGCCGATGTTATTGTTCTCGGCGAGTCCAGGATTGTTGTTGTTCGCGAAGGAGACGACGGACCCGGCAAGATTGTGGGTGCCGCGGCAAACTCACGAAAACGACGCCTGTTTTCGAAAGGAGACAAGTCAGACGCTATCATCGTGCACGGCAGGGAAAACCGACCAGCCAAGTCTTTGTTCAACCTGAGCACTGTCAAGCCGGGTACTTTACGATTTAGATCTGCGTCTGGAAATTTCGACGAAGACGCAGACACCACCCTGCAGCCATCGAGCCGCACGGTTGGCTTTGACTTTATGGACACACTTGAAGCTGCAGCAGACGATACGCAAGACTTTACGAGACGGAACGTGGAGTTTGAGATGTTGGATATCATGGAGATTGACAAGACGCTTGACAGCATGAATGGCCAAAGAAGGACATGAGATGGCCTTAAGGATGTAAAATTGAGATTGAGGAACTGACCTTTGTGAGTAGATGTCGAGCACGATATAATGAAGATGCCGGGGATGATTTGTACGATACCCCCACGACATACAAAGTGCCCCTTTGCCCATTTCTCATGACACAAGCTTAACATGTTGTGATCTTGTGAAGTCAGATCTTTTTCTACGTGACATGTTCCGCACGGCCAGGTGGAGCGCAAGGAGAGACCCATCCTTGACTGCTCTGTATTCCGAGCGGTATATTAAGAGGAAGTGCTTATGTGCTTGGTCGACGTTTCAGAGGAGGGTTGGAAGAGGTTCAGTGTCTCGAGCACTATTCCAGCTTTCAGGATACATCCTGTTATCTGCTGACTGATGGGTTCTTCCAAGTACCTGAGGCTTGCCTTGGGGACAGTGTAGAACTTTTGCGGACAGTGGGGGGTGCAGTAACCTAAGCTGGAGATTTGAACGTCGATACATTTGTCTCTGCCCCGGATCCATGTATTATCTATTGTGACATAGGAGTAGCCTCAAGTAAGGTAGTACGAGGTTTGTAGGATAGAGGGTGAGTTTACTTTGTAGGGCGGTAGTTATGGATACCTAGATAATATATTGAATTGACTAGGAACATAGTACGAACAAAAACCACTAGAATATCTACACAGGGCTTTTCCATATCCAACATGATATTCACCTTGAATACAGAGTCTCTTTGTTCATCCATTATATTAGGTAATGCTACAGTGAAGCTTCAGGCAGCTCTGAAGCTTTAGTCCAATCGCGTTGTGGGGTCAATTAAGATCCCTGCAGTTTCCGTCGCGACAGGCGCGTCATGACGTCCCACACGCGTAAAGTCCCTTCTTCTTTCACGTTTCGTTTGCGCCTCCATCTCTTTCTCTCTCTCTCATTGATCAAGTATCCTCGCTTTTCTTCTTGTCACCTGGATCTCGGCTTCATTTCGAATCCTGCTTCTACAACTTGATCCAGAGTACCAGAGAAAAACTGCAAAGATGGGTATTAAGCAACTCTTTTCGATCATCAAGGAGGAAGCTCCAGATTCGATCAAGGAGGGCGAGATCAAGAACCAGTTCGGCCGCAAGGTCGCCATTGTACGCTCAGTACGAAATCTCAAGACGAAGAGTAATTGCTAATGATGTTAGGATGCTTCAATGAGTATCTACAGTTTCCTCATCGCCGTACGATCCGAAGGCCAACAGCTCATGAACGAGAGCGGCGAAACAACATCGCATCTCATGGGCATGTTCTACCGTACTCTGCGCATGGTCGACAACGGAATCAAGCCCCTCTACGTTTTCGATGGTGCACCGCCCAAACTCAAATCTGGCGAGTTGGCCAAGCGTTTCCAACGCAAGCAGGAAGCTACCGAAGGCCTTGAGGAGGCCAAGGAGACTGGTACAGCTGAAGACATCGAGAAGTTCTCGCGGCGAACTGTCCGCGTCACTCGAGAGCATAATGCCGAATGCCAGCGACTGCTCAAGCTCATGGGCATTCCTTACATCATCGCGCCCACTGAGGCTGAGGCCCAGTGTGCTGTCTTGGCCCAGGCTGGCAAGGTGTATGCCGCCGCCAGTGAAGATATGGACACTCTTTGCTTCAACGCACCCATTTTGCTGCGCCATCTTACCTTCAGCGAACAGCGCAAAGAGCCTATTCAGGAAATTCACCTGGAGAAGGTCCTTGAGGGCCTTAACATGGAGAGGAAGCAAGTATGTTGCGACACCCAGCTTGGTTGATACATTGGACTAACGTTGTATAGTTTGTGGATCTTTGTATCCTGCTCGGCTGTGATTACCTTGACCCAATTCCCAAGGTCGGCCCCAGCACTGCCCTGAAGCTGATCCGTGAGCATGGCTCATTGGAGAAGGTTGTCGAGGCGATGGAGAAAGATCCCAAGAAGAAGTACACTATTCCTGAGGACTGGCCTTATAAGGATGCTCGGGATCTATTTTTCGAGCCTGATGTGCGACAAGCCGACCACCCTGACTGCGATTTCAAGTGGGACAAGCCCGACATGGAAGGCCTTGTTCAGTTCCTCGTCACGGAGAAAGGATTCTCGGAAGATCGTGTTCGCAGTGGAGGTGCCCGACTGGAGAAGAATCTCAAGAGCTCTCAACAAGCTCGACTTGAAGGTTTCTTCAAGCCTGTTCCCAAGACAGATGCTGAGAAGGCAGCACACAAGCGAAAGCTGGATGAAAAGAATGAAGAGAAGCGAAAGAAGGCTAAGCAGGAGAAGAAGGACAAGGCTGCTTCTAAAGCCAAGCCTCGAGGTACCAAGTGAAAGGATACATAGTATTTCAGGGAGATAAGGATCGGATATCTCGAAGGCTATGGAAAAGGGTTAACTACTTGCTGGGATCGGGAACGGAGTTTCGGCGTTGTGGAGTGGTATAGACCGCCTGGGGGCTTTTTATCCGGTGGCATTAACAGCACCACTACGATTTTTATAGGAATAATCTAGAGTCCGATTCATGAACGGTCTCAAGGGGAAAGTTCTGAAGCAGGGGAGTTGAGGGACTCCTTAGTACATGCTAAATCAACTTGAAATATTTCTGTCACTCAAGATTGACATCTTCTCACCTCCTACAAAGAGGTTTCAAATAACTTGTAAGACGGTAACCTTCAGACAGATTGTTACAGGTATTATTGTGCGTATTCAGTGGCTTGCATAAATATGAATAGACGGCCTGCCAAAAGCTCAGTTGTTCGGATGGTTTGTCAAGCTCGGAGACTCGCTGCATTCTCAGGCTGTAGATGGTGATCTGATGTAGATATATCACCGAATCAACATGCTACAGGGGTGATATTCGGACTTTGGGCTCAGCCAGCCAAATATGATGAATTTCCAACACATGCAAGTAAAATGCAGCAAGAAAGGGTCTTCTCCGCATGCTCTTTTCAGGTGGCTTGTCCGATCCCTGTGGGGGCTTGTCCCCTTGTAAAGTTGGTTCGCGAGTCGTGAGCATTTACCTCGGACGCCATATTTTGGCAATGCTCGACCTCCGATTGGACAGCGCATAGAAGCCTCGGCATCCTCCATCATGACATCAACGCATGCGCTAGAGTTTATTAGCAGCAGAAGCAATCGTCGTTTACTGCGGCTCTTTCACATGTAAAATGAAGATAGCGAGGCGAATGCATGCACATGACCTTTGTCTCTCTCTACCATGACCGCATCGAGTAATGCCGTGAATGAGACGACTCATGACCTGAAGCGTCAAGTCTTCCCCAGAAAAAAAGATGATAGAATATGGGGGTGGAGCTGAAGCATCAACATGTGATTGCAATGCTACCTATGCTTTTGCCGAAGCATGTTTTAAAAAAGGGTCTATGAAAGGCTAATGATCCCTTCTTCCTCCTTCTTTTTCTCCCATATTGTCGTGTTGTTCTTTTCTTTTTGACTCTGTGATATATACCCTTTGCAGTTTTGATTATCTTTCCCCATCTCATCTCATCACCAATACAAAGTCAACATGTCCAAAGTCTTTACCACAAGCGACGTTGCGTCGCATAAGAAGCCCGACGACTTGTACATCATCGTCGATGGCGACGTTTACGATGTGACAAAATTCCAAGACGACCACCCAGGTAGGTCAATCACAGTACAGTCCTCGAAACTCACATCTGACGCGCAATAACTAGGTGGTAAGAAGATTCTCCAGCGCGTCGGCGGCAAGGACGCTTCCAAGCAATTCTGGAAGTACCACAACGAGGGCATCCTCAAGAAGTACAAGAAGCAGCTTCAGGTCGGATCCCTTGACTCCAAACCCGCGGCCCCCGAGCCTAAGCCTGAGGCCAATGCTGCTCCGGTGCCCACGGCCCCTACACCCAAGGCCGTCAAGACCACACAGAAGGAGGTTGCTGCCAAGGAGGAAGACGCCGAGGCTCTTGAGCCCTTCGGTGACCAGATCCCCTTTGCTGACCCTGCCTGGTACCAAAGCGTAGGTTTACCCCGGTTCCCTCCTGTCAGCCCCTTGCTTACACGTCTTAGTACCATTCACCATACTTCAACGAATCTCATGCTGCTCTCCGCGCCGAGATCCGCGAATGGGTTGAGAAGGACATTGAGCCTTATGTCACCGACTGGGACGAGGCCAAGGAGGTCCCCGAGGAGATCTACAAGGAGATGGGTCGTCGCGGTTATCTCGCTGGTCTGCTCGGTGTCAAGTACCCAACCCAATATGTTCCTCAAGGGATCAAGTCTGTCCCTCCTGAGCAGTGGGATCTCTTCCACGAGATGATCATCACCGACGAGCTGTCCCGCACTGGCTCTGGTGGTTTCGTCTGGAATATCATTGGTGGTTTCGGTATCGGCTGCCCTCCTCTTATGAAATTCGGTAAGAAGGAGCTCAAGGACCGTATTATGCCTGGTATTCTTAGTGGTGAGAAGCGTATCTGCTTGGCTATCACCGAGCCTGATGCTGGTAGTGATGTCGCCAACCTGACCTGCGAGGCTAAGTTGAGCGAGGATGGCAAGCACTACATCGTCAACGGCGAGAAGAAGTGGATTACCAACGGTATCTGGGCCGACTACTTCACCGTCGCTGTGCGAACGGGAGAGGCTGGTATGAACGGTGTATCTCTGCTCCTCATCGAGCGTGGCGAGGGTGTTTCCACCCGACGCATGCCTTGCCAAGGCGTTCTGTCTTCAGGAACAACATACATCACCTTCGAAGATGTCAAGGTTCCCGTTGAGAATTTGCTCGGCAAGCAGAACCAGGGTTTCAAGGTCATCATGACCAACTTCAACCACGAGCGTATGGGTATTATCATCCAGTCCCTCCGATTCTCTCGTGTCTGCTACGAGGAGTCCGTCAAGTACGGTAGCAAGCGACGCACATTCGGCAAGAAGCTCATTGACCACCCTGTTATCCGCATGAAGCTCGCTCACATGGCTCGTCAAATCGAAGCCTCATACAACTGGCTCGAGAACCTCATCTACCAGTGCGAGCGCATGGGTGAGACAGAGGCCATGCTTCGGCTCGGCGGTCCCATTGCTGGTCTCAAAGCCCAGTCTACACTCACATTTGAGTTCTGTGCCCGAGAAGCTAGTCAGATTTTCGGTGGTCTGAGTTATTCTCGAGGAGGCCAGGGTGCCAAGGTCGAGCGACTGTACCGTGATGTGCGAGCATATGCCATCCCCGGTGGTAGTGAAGAGATTATGCTTGATCTTAGCATGAGGCAGAGTCTGAGAGTTGCAAAGGCCGTGGGTATGAAGCTGTAAAAGCCGGAGTTGGGATCATTTGTATATGTATATATATTGCACCACCTTGGAGTTACTTATTTGGCTATGGCCTTGGTCTAGATGTCAGGCCGAGTAGAGCGAAGAATGAATACCAGTTTTTACAGATTCCATGATGAATTATGAGCGAATGGCTCGCGTGAATTGGGAATTCCTCCAGCGGTTATTGGTCGTGCTCTTGGTTTCATGTGATTGAGAGATCGTGATAGGTGGTGTGCCTAGCATCGAGTAACGTGGAGTAACGCTACCTTTGTTGATGACCTGGAATGCGAAATGATAGATGGACAATAAGAAATTAAACTTCGGAGGTACATATTCCCTCAAAAGATACGCAGAAATCGATTGCCTTTTGCCAATTGAAGAACTCAACCCCAGACGGCAGTACAAGGTGTACCTCGCTTGTTAAATCGTTAGAGCTGGCCCCTGCTTAGAGCTCGAAATGTCATGCGTGCTCATTGAAACTCTGTTGATTTTCATCTCTCGTGTCATTTTCATCACCATAAAAGCCTCGGAATCTCCCACCGAGAATCGCTCAACTCCAAGCAAACACTTGGCTAATTCCAGAATACAATAGACTAGATCACTTTAGCAAAAGCTCATTCTCATCCATCTACAGCAAGCGATAAAAACCGGGCTGCCCCGCCTACACGTGACCAAAAACTGCAGGGCCTTCCGCCGCAATGAGGCACACACCATCGTCACCTTCACCTTCAAACTCCAAGACTGAGCCTACTTTCTACTCTATTTCTTCCCTCCACCAAGAACCCAACCACACCTTTAAACACCCCACGACAACAAAGAAATCTCCCCACACGACATCGACCTCGCGTTTTCAACTAACTAAAGCACTTTCATCCCTGAGTCTTGTCTCTCAGGCAGTTCGCGCACCGATTTTCTTCCGACCTCTCTCCACACAAACCAACAACGCCTTGCAGCTCCTCACCTGCTGCCCCCCTCCCGCGCCCCGATCCCACGAGAGGCCGACCTCTGTGCTGTTTTGCATATAATACCTCGCCCTTTTACTTTCTTTCGATCCGTAGACGGATCCTGTACACGCAATGGCGGATCAGCTAGCAGACAAGCTGAAATCCACCCAACTCAGGTCCGCTGCGCCGCCCTAGCGGCCCTTGTGAGCTTGGACTAACTCGAGCAGTGACGGTGCTCCCGCCGCGAGTGACGAGTGGAAGAAGAATCTGAACCTCCCCGCAAAGGATAACCGACAACAAACAGAGGTACATGCCGCAATCATGATTTTCTCGGCGCCCCCCCAGAGGCTGACCTTTGTCCCCAGGATGTTACAAACACAAAGGGCCTCGAGTTCGAGAACTTTGCCCTCAAGCGAGATCTACTTATGGGAATTTTTGAAGCAGGATTTGAGAAGCCTTCACCAATTCAAGAGGAAGCTATACCCGTCGCATTAACTGGCCGAGATATTCTTGCACGAGCAAAGAACGGCACTGGCAAGACAGCTGCCTTTGTCATCCCTACCTTGGAACGCATCAACCCCAAGGTTTCCAAGATTCAATGTCTTATCCTTGTCCCCACACGTGAGCTTGCCATGCAGACCTCACAAGTCTGCAAGACCCTCGGCAAGCACCTCGGCATTAATGTTATGGTTACGACTGGTGGTACCGGTCTTCGAGATGACATTATTCGTCTGCAGGATCCCGTCCATATTGTGGTTGGTACCCCAGGCCGAATTCTTGATCTCGCTGGCAAGAATGTTGCCGACCTTAGCGAATGCCCCATGTTCATTATGGATGAAGCCGATAAGCTTCTATCCATTGAGTTTACTCCTGTTATCGAGCAGCTCTTGCAATTTCACCCCAAGGACCGACAAGTCATGCTTTTCTCAGCTACATTCCCTCTGTCCGTCAAGGACTTTTCCGATAAGAACATGGTCAGCCCCTATGAGATCAACCTGATGGACGAGCTCACTCTGAGGGGTATCACCCAATACTACGCCTTTGTTGAAGAGAAGCAGAAGGTCCACTGTTTAAACACCCTCTTCTCCAAGCTCCAAATCAACCAGTCGATTATCTTCTGTAATTCCACTAACCGAGTCGAACTTCTGGCTAAGAAGATTACCGAACTTGGATACTCCTGCTTCTACAGTCATGCTAAGATGCAGCAACATGCACGAAACCGTGTTTTCCACGACTTCCGCAACGGTGTGTGCCGAAACTTGGTCTGTTCCGATCTCCTCACACGTGGTATCGACATCCAGGCTGTCAACGTTGTCATCAACTTTGATTTCCCCAAGAATGCCGAGACCTATCTTCATCGCATTGGTCGATCTGGTCGTTATGGTCACCTTGGTCTGGCTATCAACCTGATCAACTGGGACGACCGCTTCAACCTCTACAACATTGAGCGGGATCTTGGCACTGAGATCCAGCCTATCCCCGCCAGCATCGACAAGAGTCTCTATGTCTACGAGAACCCTGAGTCGATCCCCCGACCCATCTCCAACATGCAAAGGGGACAACTACCTGCTGCACAGGGTCAGCAGCAGCCCCAAACTCAACAACCTCAGCAATACCAACAGCCTCAGCAGATGCAGCAGGCTGGTCTGCCTCAACAAGGCCAGGGTAATTGGCAGAGCCAAAATCCTCAGCACGGCAACCCGCACTATAACAACGGCGGGCGCGGTCGTGGACGAGGCCGCGGGTATCGTGGCCGTGGTGGCCAAGGCGCAGGCGGTCGAGGTCGCGGCCCGCCCCGCGATGCCCAATCCTAATATCATATATACTCATGCATGGCGTTAGGTAGGGGAGACAGGGGTTTAAGGATGACTTTAAGATGATTTTCTTTTTTGTACTGGGTTGTGATTTCAATGTTGGATTGTACATTATTCGCATATTTTTCCGCGAATGGATGGGACGGCGAACGGCCTGCACTGCCGATGGATTACGACTCCTTCGACACTTTCACAAAGGGTTTCTATGCAAAAACCCAACACATTAGCGAGCCCGACTCATTTGGCTCACGCATTCTTGGCATGGAAGCCCTGTTGGCTTCCTTTTTGCACGGATCTGTCAGTCGTATCATCACCATCGGCTTTGGCATTCTGTTTGATTTGGTTCATGATATCTACGGATGATGAAAAAGAGCGAGAAATGGAACTTCCAGGGAAAAGGTGTTCTTTGGGCATCGACCACGGTAGACATACCCGCTTTGGGGCTGGGCACAGTCAAATGGTGCGGGGAGAAAGGAAAGGAAGGAAAGGGTGTTTCTGAGGTTCGAGGCGTTCGAGGCTCTTCACGCGGATGGCGTTGCCCTCGGTTTGTATTTGAGGGCTGCAATTTCTGTAGCTGACTTGCGATTTGAACGGCACCTCGGCGGAGCGAGCGCACGGGGGATATGATACCCTTACGACAAATCTACGTTGGATGAGCGGATCTCATGAGTTGAGGCAAACTCTGCTAGACGTATTGGTGGATTTGAAAGGGCTCTATGAGGCCCACGGGTAACATCATTACATTGATCTTGCTCTCTCTCCCTCTCCTATCACGGACAAGATGCAGTCTTTGCTCGAACACGGCTTCTCGCGACAAGACTGAGGGATGAGACCGTGAGATGACTGCTATTGGGCAGCACCAATGAAAACCATGAAAGTAGAAAAACAAGAAAAAAACAACTTTTGGGAGGGGAAACTGAATGGGCTGTATGACTTTCGTACTGGCTCAGCGCGTGCCGCTGTATGGACGGATTTTGCGTTCTGCAACGACGCGGCTGGGGCTGGTGAGGCAGATAGTTTATTTGAGTAAAATCGTGGGATTTCCCACTCTCCTCTCATACATATGACTCTTGAGTTGTGTGATAGCTTGTGATGGTGAACTTGTTGAGCGAATTAGCGTGCTCGATTATAGGGGGCAGAAATGATTCAGAAGTAGTTCGATTTAAACAGATCAGAAACCATCAGTACGCCAAGCCCCTATTTAAGGTTCACGTTTAAGCTTGAGAGGACATCTGGATGTAGTAATTGGGGTTGTTGAAACAGTCAAGTTAGGAAGTTGTCGTGAAACGTGCATCTGGAAGAGGATCGTGAAGCAAGAAGCGAATGAGTCAGCACTGGAATGCGATCTGACAAAAACCAAGGACAGGGTCTATAGGGCTTTCACGTATCTGATCAGCAAAGGCGCGTTAGTTAGCACTAGACTACGCATGTTCCTGAAAATCACAGCCCTCCTTTTCATTTCGAGGAAGAAGGCCAAGAGAGTTGAGTTAGCTGTACTTCAAAAGATTCATGAAGGATTGCGTAGACAGTGGATCCTTTACATCTGTCACGGTTGCTCGCATTCTTCGCCAACCCCGAGAAGGGCCGTGCTCTGTGAGTGGCTTGGCAGGGGTAGGGAGACAAATGTTATTGTAGAGGAAGAGGCAGCCAAGAGTATAAGAGATGTTGTGGAGAATGAAGAGCCTGTTTAAGATATTGGGTTTGATATGTTGTAAGATGATGAGCTTGGCTTTCTCGTGACGAGTTTGATATTGAAGATGAGAATCAGTTGTGAGTGTAGCATGATAACCTAAGTCATATAATGTATAACGAAGCTCTCCATGTGTTACAGAAAACGCACATGCCCGTGATACGAGCTTTGAGTGACAGCTTAGGGTATTCACACGTTCTTTAGAGCTAGACCCTTCAGAGCCACCATAACACTAATGAACATTTACAAGACCAAAGATCATGGTATTGCTCTCACAGAAACATATCGGATGTTAAAGCCGCGGGATTATCACAGTATGGACGGATGTTGACACTGCACTGATGTTGGATGGTAGATCAGCCGCATAAACACCGCTGGTGTCATAAGGGTTGCAGCCATGACGGAATGTGCTAGCTAGCGGTGCGGTGAAGACAAAAAACAAGGGACAGGAACAAATGTCCTGGGGACTTGGTGAACATGAGAGAATGGCGCTGATCTTGCAAATCGACATATCAGCCGAAACGACGATCAGTTGCCATTAGTTGGATGGTGTGTTTAGTTTGAAGAAACACCACCAACAAAATATGTTGCCACTTACAAAATCATCCTCACTATTTCATATTCAAGTTGAGCTGAAGAGTAAATAGATTAGTCCTTAGGTAGCTTGGTCTTGATATCCACGACAACGAGATTGAAAGAGATGGGGGAGACTAGGGAGACCAGGAGAGTGGATCTTGACCCCCCGTGGCTGTGTTAACGGTGCCTGGGGTGATTGATGTTGACGGGATCCAATGGCTGCAGATGACTTACAAGGTTCTTTAATAGCCAGCAACAAGCACTCGGAGCCTTTAAAGCATCCGAACAATATTGAAATCGGATCAGCTGAATCAACATCAAGTTACTGAAGCTGTTTTCTACAGAACAGACGAAGAGTCAACGCTTGAAGACCACAAGTTTCATGTTGAGGAGACATGAGTCGAGATATAACTCGTTACCCACTGTTCGACTTCTGAAGCAAACTTAGAATGAGACGGGCACTGATTGATGCTTCATGACAAGGATGACATTGAATAGGGAGATCGTATTGAATCATGGAGAAAGCCTGGGCCATAATGCTGTACGGAGTACTGCACTGTAAAGTTGGCTGCTCTCTCATGTTAACAACCCCTTGGCGAGATAAGGAGGATGATTATGGCTACAGATCGTCAAATCTGACAACACCACAACCGACCGGCACTTCTAATGGCATCTTAAATTGTGTCAATGGCGTGTATCTTTTCTCTGACCGTACCGTACCTCTCAAAATACAAGAGCTAGACGCCAATATTGCAAGCCACCGATAAATAGTAGCAGCGGCATCAGACGGACGGGAGACGGGTTTCCAGGGCCGTCTGCCAAGCCCCAAGCCAAGGGCATCTGGCGTAGGACCTATGCCACGCAAACCCTCCCCTTTCAGCGGTCCACACAGCCCAGTTGCATTGCTTCAGTGGGTGGAGTGCACTGAAAGATAGTCCTGAATATGCTGTGCCCAGTAAAACAGAGCCTGAGGTGTCACACCGTCCACCAATCCTCACATCCCATATCGGCCGGGATCCCGGGTGGCCCCCCCCCCCATCCTCTATCCCATTGGGTACCATCTCCTTCCCCCTTCTTCCTTACAGGACACACAGAGAGACGCCTCATTTCCAGTTTTAGGTACAGGCCAGGCAAGGCAGGAAGGAGCTGCTGCGACTGCTGAAAGAACAAGCCCAGGCCCCCGTCACTTTTTCCTACCCGGATTTCTCCCAGCCTCACGAGTCACCACCATCAACCAATACTAGGTACACTACACCATCCATCCTCCGTCTCTCTTCTCCGTCTCCGTCGCTCACTCACCTCCCACCCAGAATTCGATCTAATTCGACAGCACATTAATTGGGAATTCGATACACGAAACTGCTTCCCATCGCAATCATCTTCATACAACTCCCGTAGCCCTTTTAATCTACAGCTTCAACTTCGCCTGGGCTTTCGCTTCCCCCCCTCGACTTTTCACCCCAGCGTGGTGTCCCTGCCCTGCCCATTGGTCGACCCGCCAAGCATCCCCCGTGCGCCCAGCCAGCAAGGCCCTCGAACCAATTTCCCTCTCTCTCGTCTCTAGTTACCGCCCATTGTCCACCGGCAACGTTAATACTCATCCCAGAGTTAGTGAGAGCGAGCCACTGCGACAGGAAGCCAAGTGATTGCAGACCCCGACGACGTCTCGACGATATTATCACATCCACAACCCCCGATTTAGGCTCGAAATAGCATCACTTCACCTAGTAGCATCTACCGCGTCAGCACTCGCTGGTCTTGGCCTCCAGCGAGTTCTTCACATTCCCGCTCGAAATGCCATCGTTTCTCTCCGATCAGGACAATTCCACAATCTTTAGCAATAACCCCGATATCCTCAACCTTGATCCCACGAACCAGTTCGGTTTCGTAAACAAGGAGAGGGTGAATGGGGGTTCTATCCGCCACACCCGATCCGATACGATCAATGAGAGCTTTGACGAGAGCTCAATTTCCTCTACGCACGCGTCCGACGTCTCCGACTCAACACCGGCGCCTATGAATGGCAACAGTAACAGCACGCGGCCCACGAGCATGAGCTCCAATTCCAACGGCATGTCCGCCACGGCTACTCACACCCAACAAGACGATGTAAATGGAGTCGGCAAGTTTGGGCAGCAGCCCATGCCTAATGGCACAGCGAACCTAGTCGACCGTACACGCCAGCACTCATCCGATACCAATGGCATCAATTCCAACACAGCCTCTACCAATAATCATCAACAAAACAACATACTATCAAAGCCCTTACCTTCAGAACCCCAAACGACAGAGGGAACCTCTGAGAAACCCCCAAGCAGGAGCTTTGATGGAAACCACACTCTCTCACTCTCTCCATTCCCTGTAGAGCCGCGCGGTTCTCAGTCACAAACTGCTCTCTCGGCGAATAATAATACGAACACCGATGCGGCGCAGGCACTGCACCCTCGCACAAATGGTACACATCGATTGTCATCACCACCAATCTATAATCCGTCAAGCGCAGCAGCCTCATCAACAGGACACTTACAAGCGCCCCCTGGTCTCAAGCAACGACATACCCTCGATGTACCAAAATACGTGCCTGGGCGTGGTTCAAAAGACGGAATGGATACAGCTCAAGCTAGTGGCCGCTTTTCCCCTACTAATGCAGGAAGTTCAAGTGGCCGACGACCCTCGTTAAGTATGGGTAGAAGGCCAACTCGATCAATGCAGTCAGATGGGCCACGGGATGAGATTGTACCAGATGAGGATGCTCTTCGTTGGGCAGAAGCATTGCGACAAAAGAGAGCTAGCAAGAGGAGGAGAAAGGAGGAGGAGGATGACGATCGTGTTCTTGTTGGTACCAAGGTTGACGAGAATCATGCCAACTGGGAGACGGCCTACAACATGCTTACAGGTATTCGCGTTTCGGTTTCGAGGACGAATGCCAAGCTCGACCGAGAGTTGACAGATGCCGATTTTGAGACTAAGCAGAAGTCGACATTTGACATCGCCGGTAACGAGCTGGTGCCGTCTGCCAAGTATGATTTCAAGTTCAAGGACTACGCTCCTTGGGTTTTTCGTCGCCTCCGAGCTCTCTTCCGCCTGGACCCTGCCGATTATCTGATGTCGCTCACGGGCAAGTATATTCTTTCTGAGCTGGGATCCCCTGGCAAGAGCGGAAGTTTCTTTTACTTCTCACGGGATTACAAGTACATCATCAAGACCATCCACCATGCTGAACATAAGTTTCTTCGCAAGATCCTTAAAGAATACTACCAGCATGTTAAAGACAACCCCAACATGCTTCTTTCACAGTTTTACGGCCTCCATCGAGTCAAGATGCCATATGGAAAAAAGATTCACTTTGTTGTGATGAACAACCTCTTCCCCCCACACCGAGATATCCACACCACTTTCGATTTGAAGGGCTCTACTATTGGTCGAGACTACAGGGAGGAGGATTTGGAGAAAAATCCCAGGGCGACCCTGAAGGATCTCAACTGGCTGAGGCGACAGCGGAGCCTCGAGTTGGGTATTCAGAAGAAGCGCATGTTCCTTGAGCAACTACAACGAGATGTTGCTCTCCTGAAGAGACTTAAGATCATGGACTACTCACTACTGGTTGGCATACATGATGTCTCTCGAGGGAATGAAGAGAACCTTCGTGACAAGACACTACAAGTTTTCAACCCTGGTGGTGAGAAGTCTCCCGACGACGAGCCCAACTCGGTCCTCCTTCGCACACCATCCAAATTAGAAAACCAACGTAAGGCTAGGGAACTGAGACAGATGATTCGCCAGGAGCGACCAGTACCCATGGGCCAGTCAGCAAACAAGATGCCTGATGAGTTACAAGAAGGCCAACATCGACCTGGATGGGTATTTGGACAGGATGACGGTGGTTTTAGGGCGACCCATGAAGATAACACTCCAGGGGATGAAATTTACTATCTCGGAGTCATCGATTGTCTCACTCACGTAAGTATTGCACCAATGCTAAACCTGACGACAACTGACATGATTTAGTATGGAATCATCAAAAAGATTGAGCACTTCTGGAAGGGCTTATCCAGTGACAAGACCCAAATCTCAGCACTACCGCCTGACCAGTATGGTGACCGGTTCTACCATTTCATTGAAGGTGTCACCATGTCCACCGAAGAGGCTCACAGGGAGGCCGAAAGGAGACACCAGGAAATGATTGAATCTCAACGTTCAGAAAACAGGGTGTCCAGTTGGAATTCTCGTCGCAGGTCGTCTCTGGCCGTTCCACCGATGCCAACCCATGTGCCACCTCCACCACCTGGCCCACGATCTCCGGAAGCTCAGGAAACACTCGAACGGGCTAATAAGGAGGCCGAGCGCTCTGAGAGGCATGGACATACCGAGAACCAGGTTCCAGACCGAGTCTTGACTACCGGCACTTCTAGGGACAACCGCGACTCTTTGCAGCATGAGCCTATCTTGCCGGTGGTGCAGGAGGCAGGTGAAAATGGCCGCGACGACACCGAGGCCAAGCCTCCGAGAACCTCCAAAGATCTTAACAAGAGCCTACCTCCGACGAGAGCACCGCCCCCAACTCCTCCCAAGTCAGGATATGCTGGACCCGGAAGCGCAGATAGTGGCTATGCAGGTCTGAGCAATGGCACAGGTCCCGTCAATCAAGGACAGAGAGTGAGCATCGATAGTCTCAACAAGGAGCTGCCGCCATTACCAAGGAAGGATGGGACAGACGACAATGGAGTGCGACTGGTAGCTTAGGTTGCGACCAAGGTCAAACCAAGGAGTCACTTGCAGGTTTGTCGAGGAGGACAAAGATGGATTCACGATTAAGAAAGCGAACGACGCAGATACATACACAAGACAAGGTTGACGAGCGACGGAACCATCGCCAACCACCAATGATGCATTAGAAAAGCGAGACACCTGGCGACACCCCTTTATTCATATTCTTATCATACTCTTAAGCTGGACCATTCCTTGACCAGCCTTGCACTATTTCCTTATTGTTATTCTGTCAATCAACATCTTTGGCATACTGGACTCGGCCTCGGCCTATGAAAGCAAGTTTCTATTTCAGTCACATTTTCCTTTGTCAGCCACGAAGCAGAGAAGCACTCGGAAAGGTGGTGGGTTGGTGAGCCATCCGTATCGCCAGGTTCAAGGGCGGTCGGTGTCTCTGGAGCGAGTGCAGATATGGTTCCTTTTATCAAAAAAAGAAGAAGATATGGATGATACCACCACGCTTAGCACGCTACAGTCTGTTTTTTTTTTATTCACTTTTCTTCTGGTCGTTAATCAATTCTTTGTTGACTGGCCCCCTGTTCACATGATATCTCGTTTTTGTCATATACTTATTGTCCTCTCTTGGGTTTTCATCAGCTGGCAGGGCTTGCACAGGCAGCGGCTTAGGTAGTAGGAATAGATAGATTTGGTAGGATAAAGACTCGAGTTGGCTCATTGGGAGGAATGGGCATGGTGTGGTACAGTGAGTGCAGTTGCAGTTGCAGTGTGATTGTAACTTTTGGGGTGTGAGTTGGTGGTATTGTGGTAGTTTACAGTGATATAATACAAATATGTATAACAAGTACGGGCCTCTTGTGAAGCCTTTTTCCTTTTCCGTGTCCGTCCGTTGTCTCATTCATCCATTGTCTTATTGCTCCAGGTCATTCTACTTCTTCTGGTCCAACATGGCCTGAATATCGCCCACGCCCTTGCCCTTCTCCCCAGCACCACCCTCTGGCGCAAAGCTCGACGTGACTGTCATCTCCTGTGCACCCTGTGCTCTCAACTCATCCAGGCGTCGCTTCTTCTGAATATCGGCAACCCTCCACTGCTTGAAGTACTTGACCCAAGCAGCTGCACAGTCCCTCTCGAAGTCCGCCGTCTCGACTGGACAAGCCTTCTTTGTCGCTGATGGATCCTTGGTGGCGTCGACGATGTTGTGGGCGTCTAGACAGTTGAAGTAGGCATCGCGGGCGGCCCAGCAGATCGTACGCTCTTGACGGTTTGGTATCGCGTCGCCGGAGCGGATGGCGTCAGCGCGGGATTCGCTTGAGAATGGCCAGAAACCCATTGCGTGTTTGTTTATTATTATTATTTTGTGGTTTTTATGCGAGGGAGTTAATTGGTGATGGTGACTGAGGGCGGGACACACGGAGTACAAAATCTCATGAGCCGTGTATCTTCTACTAAAGCTGAGGTTACGTTATGACGAGCAGAAGCGGCAGAAAAAGAAGGCGGTGAGATTGAAGCGGTTTAGTGGACGGAGCACAAGCCACGTTTCAGGGTAGGTAGCTATGCTAGGTATGCTTTGCTTTGCTTTGTGTGGCTGATGATGCACTTTAATCTGTCCTTTGATTGTCCTTTACTTCCCTTGCTTCAAGCAAATCGACTTATTCCCTGCATTCAACTTTTTTTTCTCTCCTTTACTTTTTCTTTGTCTACGTTGATCCTCAGCTTCTGTTGAGTCCTACTTTCAATAATCAAGCTTCAAGAGACGAGAAGGAGCTGGGAATACAAGGTTCAATGCGCTAAAGCCGAAAGCTCAGAGAAGACATCACAAGACCCTCACTCACTCACGAGACATGCCCCTTCGATGACCGACGACTCCTGCACCCTCTACACTTGGCCTCTTACAACAACTTGACGCAAAATCAAAATCAAAATCAAAATCACAAAATGCCACGACGTCGTAAACCTCCGCGCGCAGGCGCCCTCGCTGAACTTGCGCCCCTAAAGATCGCTGGCCAGATCGCGACGCTACAGGCGATATACTACTTCTCTGCACTGGTTCTGATCGTCTTTACAGCGCTTGTCTCTGGCTCTGGGTTCAGCTGGACACTTGTATTTGGATGGGAGGGGCTGAGAGGAGATACCACGCATGGATGGCTCATGGCATTTGTGTTCCTGTTGGACGGCGGGTTGATTATGTGAGTTCTTCCTACTGCTTGAATAACAGAAGCTCCCCTTATCGTTCACCACTAACACATTATAGTCCTATCGCAATAGTCGCCTTCATCGCTCGCTCCAAACTCGTACCCGATTTCGCATTGACCGTCCACTTTCTCAACCTCGTAATCGCATCCCTTTACAGCGGCCACATCCCCCGCCACGGAGCTTGGTGGTTCACCATGTTTGTCTCATCCGGGCTATGTATTGGTGTCGGAACTTGGGGATGTCAGTATCGCGAGCTGCAGCCTGTCTTCTTCGGCGGTCGTCCCATTCTCCCAGCTACGGGAGCTGAAGGTGCAGCGCCGCAACCTCCTCCTGTCGATGAGGAGATGGGTATTGCTGTGAGAGGAAGGGGGCCAGATGGTGGTGGAGAGTATGAAATGGCTCCTATGCAGCCTGCAAGATGAAAATTGGTGTTGAGGCACTTGGATATGGTTGAATAGACTTGCATTGCTAGGCGTTTGGGCGCTCTTTACACCGTTTATGAACGTTAATTTGGAAGAGCTTTGATCAGGGTCCCTTCAGACCGAGTGAGACGACTAGAGAGTAGATCTGTCTGTCAAGAGATGAACATCAATATAACGATCAGATCTCATAAGATGAATAGATGCATGTGCCTGGAATCGACATTGTGACTTATCATGACATGCTTTAGTCTTTTACTTGTTTATCAAAATTTACAATGAAAGCCATAAACACCAAAGGCAAGATGGAGAATAAGTGGCTTTGATGCCTTTGTTGAATCTATCTCAACCTCGATCCTCTGCAATCTCCAATCCCGTTGTGGCTCGTTGTAACCAAATTCATTCCCCATAGTGAATACACCTTTGTCTTATCTTGCTTGTCTTTCTTTCTTCAGTAGAGTACAAAAATCAGCGCATCCCATCGATTACGCCCATTCCTTTTCTTTTCTTTTCTTTTCTCCGCCCCCAATTTCTTCTGTGGCCATTCATGGACGTTCGTTCTATGCACCAGCCACAACCGCCAAGTTATCGTATATCATCTTACGCACCTCGTAGAAAGTGCTTCTTCGTGCAGTCGGCATACCGACGCTCTCTACCTCGACGCGCCCTGCCGAGGTCTTGCGGACAGCCACGGTACCGTCAACAACTAGAGTACCCTCACCACGGAATTCAGCTGCATGGCCAGCGGACTGCATGGCACGACGGAGGTCAGCAAGTCGGAGATCGCCAACGTGTAGTGGCTGAGCTGCTGAGCGGACGGCGGAGATGAGGTTCGCTGGTAAAACATCGAGAACTGGTGTCGCTGAGGGGATATCGGCAGCCATGTTGGTGAGTGTTGTTGAGGAGGCTTCCTCTGTCTTTTGGCGCTTGTTGGCAGCATCTTCGTCTGCTGCGGCGGCTTCGTTGAGATGCGTGGCAAGAAGCTGTCCGGTGATAGTAACAATGCCCAGGCCACGTACGTTCTGCCACTTGATCTTTCTGACAAGAGGATCAGCGAGCTTGACAACCCATGCGTTGGTGTCGACACTGGCATCCACGACAACCCCAACCTCAGGAGTATATACGTCAACGGAACGCTCACTGCCTGTATCCGCGTTGCCGTTATCTCCGCCCAATGCTCGACGGCAGTCTTCAGCCAGAGAAAGTGTCTCATCTCGTGCACCACCAACAAGAATGAGCTTTCGTGGTTGGATAAGGGGAATCAGCATGTTGAGACTCCGCTTGTCATGCAGACCACTAAAGTCAACGAATGCAATGCGCAAGTTGGTCTGGACAGTTTCGGACTGATATGTGAGTTTGCATGGCCCCGTGGGCTCCTCGGTCTCGATATCCTCGACACTATCGAGCTCGTCAGGCACGAAACCATCATGATCACCAGCTGCAGCCTCTTCTCCGTCAACAGAACCAGCCCGCATGTTCTGTTGCCGCTTGGCACCGGCTCCAGTCTTTGCAAAATCGTCCCATCTTCGTTTCTTGCCGAGCTTATCGTCAGCGGCCTCCATGCTAGTGTTGTCCTGTCCTTCTTCCTCTTTCTCCTCAGCACGTAGGTAATCTTCGGGTCGAATGAGCTCTCCAAAGTCGTCTTGGCGCCTTCTTCGGATAGCGATAGGGAACGTCCTCTCTCGACCCTTCTTCCCTCGAGTGTCGAAATCGTATACACCCTTTTTCTTGATGAGCACGTTGATACCGAGATCTTCGTCCTTGAGGACAACATTCTTGCGGCCAGCTTGGGCGATAGCAGTCGAGACATTGAGGGCTTTGCCCTGTTGTTCTCCATCTTCATCTTCTGAATCGGAAGATGATTCGGATGAAGCATCGTCAACGACATCTGCTGTGGCCTCGAGTCCAGCTGCACCTCCGCTCTGCTGTGTAGCCTGAAGCTGTCTTTGAGTCGCAAGCCATTGTTGATATAGTGCCAATTCGTCACCTTCCAGCGCATGACGTTGGGCCTCGCGGATCTCCAGCTCCCGTCCACCAGCATAAACAAACTCGAGATTCTCTCCGTTTGCGTTTTGTTCCACCGACACACCATCCTTGCGCTCCTTCCACCAATCCCATAGTGTTCGTGCAATAGATGGCTTGTCGGTCTTTGATAGACCCGGCTTGTCTGTTAGAATGACCAAGTTTCTCGAGTCTCGTGCCAATCCCTTGATCAAATCCTTTGAGAAACCCCACTCGATACTGCTATCACTGGCCAGAATAACACGGCCTTCTGTCGATACATTGTCGGGGTTCTGACTTAAAAGTCGTGCGATCTGGGCTTTGCGCTCGAGTAGTCGTAGATATTTAAAGTCGAATGGTCCACCTTCCTTCTTATCGTTTGCGCCATTGACCTTTCGTTGACCCTCAGCAAAGGCCTCGAACTCTTGAACGATGCTATCGTCCATCCACTCGAGCATACTTCGGGCGTATCGCATTGTGCTTGACATGTTGCGTCCAGCCAAGTATAGCTTGGCTGTCTTGAGGACGCTATTATCAGAAGCAGCATCGGTTCTCCAGGCATGTTCCAGGAGGTACGAGAGTTCTAGGACCCGAGCACTTGAATCCACAGGGATAAGAACAGTTCCCCCTCGTGTCACGCAAGCCTTGATCGTGTCGACCAGCTGCTCGTCTCGCTTCGCGCGACCTCCAGTCTGGGCAGTTCGGTCTGCGCCACGACTGCTGCAGATCAGTGCAGTTGGTTTCCGCAGTTGCTCAATGACCTCAGCGCCACCTCCTCCAGCGCCTCCCAGCCAAGCTGCTCCAGCAAAGACATTTTCACGTGCCTGGTTCCAGTCCACAGCATACACAATAGATTCTAGGCCGTGCTGGATGTGCCATATCGTGCCTCCGAGGGTATGTCCAGAGTTGTAGGCGGTGATAGTCAAGCCATTAAGAGGCGGTGAGAATGGCGAGGGGAGAGGTTGATGCGGTTGTGAGTATTTCAACGGTTGGATAAGGGAGAAGTATCGTGCAATCTCTTCGTTTGTGGGAGATTGTAGTAGTAGGTTCTGCGCAGTCGTTGCAGTCTGTGTTAGCGAGTATGCGCTCTCGGTAAGCGAACTCTGAGGAATTGTTGTCGCCGCGGCTGGACTCGATGTGTAGAGGTCTTGGATGAGGGTGCGACCAAGGTCAATGACTGGTCGTGTCGCATACACGGGGATGCGCGTGAACTGTGGAATGTTCTTGCAGCAATGGGCGTAGGCAGCAAGATGCGAAGCCGTCGCATGTGTAACAAGGATGAGCGAGAGAGTTGTTACTTGTCTATAGCGCATGATTGTCAGCCATCGCCGTCACTATCAGATGCGCAGGGGGCAGGGGGCATACTTCTCTATCTCTTTGAGCTTTTCAACATCAAAGGTCTCGTCCCATCCTAGATCTACCAGCACCTTGACTCCTCCATCGAGCTCAAGCAGCGATTGCGAGGCGGGCGAGTCTGAAAGGGCGCCCTGGAGCGGGCAAAAGGTGAACATGATGATATGGGCGCAAACGTGATTAAAGAAAGGATCAAGTCAAATCGAGGTGACAGTTTGGAGTAGAGTTGCTATATCGATTGTAACAGCATGGTTATCGTTAAATCAATCTCATTCGAGTCGAGGATGATTAAGTATCGAGATGGGGACTTTTCAGCTATTGAATTGTCATTTCTTTGTCCTCTATTGATGCAGACAAAGACAATCAATCGGTCGTCGCGAAGCTTGATTATTCTGCCCATTGATGCGCGTAGCGTAGCGTAGCACTTGCAGCAGCTGTCAAATCGGGGTTCGGGTCGGTTAAACCATAGTCCGACTTACACGCGACCTGCTACTGATTACGTGCATCTACGGATGAAATAAACTATTTTAAGGTATAATACAATGGCTGCTTGAATAACTCAAATGCGACTACAATGAATCTACAGATCTATCTACTATATATTAGACAATCAAACATGTGAGGTGGTCAACACTATTAACTATGCACGATATAACTGGCATGCAGTGTGACAAGCTAACCAATACGAATAGCTTCACAATCAGCATTACAATGAAAGGCTCTCAATACGAGCAGACCAATCTCAAGAGCCCAACTCGAGCCAATTTAAAAGACATGTCTCTCGTCCGTAAATAGCACTGTCAACTATCGTCAATAGCTTCATCCTCTCGCCACCCCTCCAGCCTCCAGGCCTCTAAATTGCCGCCTATTTCCATCGCACCCCTACAGCGCTTATACGCAAACCCCAATTCCAGGCTTCGAGATAAAATTAAGGATTGCCTGGAACTATCCGAGACCCTCTATTATTCTGGCTTAGCAGCATCATTTCCCTCTTCTTCCCCAGTTTCTCCCTTACGCGTTCTTTACGATCTGTACCACACCCTGCCCGGCATCTCGGCATCGTCAGGATGACGCGGCCCTGCACTTCGCGCCGCCAAATAGCTAAAGACACGGATAAACGGAAATGCAGACGCTATCTTTCAACTGACAACAACCTTAAATCTACTGTAAATTTTACCTCATCGTGCCGTTGTGCCGCCCCTGACTTACACTGAACGCGTACGTACAACCAGCTTCGTCAGCCGGCCTGGTATTACGCCCTGGGTCACTCAGGCATACAGAGACACGATGAATCAGGTGAAATGACGATGATGATGATGGTCAAGTTTGGTCAATATGCTTCTGACATTGTTCAGCAACTATGTACATGATTTGGTATTGCAATGGCACCCAAACACCACTTAACCATGACTCTGCCTTGTATGACCCCTAAACACCGTTCCGTTCATACCTCTTCTCTTCCTTTCCCGGTCGTAAAAAAGCACGCTGAATGATCGCAGTCAACCCCCTTTGGTTGCTGCCCCGTAAAAAATGAAGACGCCGTGACAATGCATATGATGGATAAACGCAACCCCTTGGCATGATAGCCTCTAACTAGGCTGATTTTGGCCTCCAATCCTCTTCAACGTCCTGAAAACGGCTTCCTCGCGTTTTCAAAGGCAAAATTTGCGGTCCAGCATTTTCAGGACTCTTGCGTCCTCGCTGACACCGCCCTTCTCTAGACCACAGGCACCAGCCGCTCTAGGGCTGCTACTGGCGCTGCCAGGCTTGACACTACCGCTTTCACTGGGTGCGGGAGTAGGGTGCAGAAGCGCTGAGAGACTGGCCTTGTTGGATGTGGTGGCAGGAGCTTCGGAATGAGAGCTGCGTGGAGGGCTGACGCTCATAGTGCGGCTAGGGGGAGTGCTGATGGCAGCGAGAGACGATCCTGGAGGGCCATTTGTGACAGCACCAAGACCTGGGAGCGCAACCTGATGAGTGCGAGAAGGTCCATTCACCATGGCGGCTGGAGCAGCTGCCTGCAAATGATGCTCTCGAGGCGAGTCGTGGGCTCTAGGGAGAGTAGGGTGTGAGTAGTGAGATGTTGATTGGTAGGTGGGCTTGGCGGGCAGAGGAGGAAGAGGAGGAGCACGCTGCTCATAAACAGGTGCCTGATGGTGGTAGTGTGGGTGAGGAAGACCTGGGTGGCCGGGGTGAGGTGGAAGCTGCTGAGGAACACCGTGGGAATAAGGAGCGGCGTAATGGCTGTAAGGAGGAGTAGCGACGGGAGAAGGAGGCCATCCATAACCAGGCTGGCCATATGGAGCGTATGGTTGTTGACCATGCTGGGGAACCATGTAGGGAGGCTGCTGCATTGGCGCCCGTGTTAGAGCAGGCGTAGTGTTCGCCTCTCCCATACTTGACTCAGGATACATGCCCTTAACAGGCACTATGCCGCGCAAGCTGGGATCATTTGTTGGTTGTTGAAGCTCAGGCTGGCCAGGTTGAGGGCGAGAATAGTATGAGATGAGGTGAAGATGCTGGCCCGTTGAAGTAGTGATGCTGAAAGATTGCTTCATCAAGCCGTCCGCCTTGTATCGGTATCCCTCAGGCTCCCCGTCATCTAGGTCCTCGTCGCTACCGCGTCCAGAGTCTGGGGTCTTTCCACCACCTCGTCGGGTAGTGTTGAAACCACCACCACGCTTGCCCTCCATCTCACGGTATGTCAGGAAGCTTCCCGACACTCGGCTGGCGCTCCATGACTTTCCATCAGTCCATCTCCTCATACCAGCTTCCCGCTCATCCCAAACAAAAACCGAACCAGATCGAATTGACTGTCTCTCCTTCTCTGAAAGTCGTCGTTGCACACGGGGCAGAATACCTAATCGGCAAGCCTCGAATAATCTTATAGCATCGGCGGGTGTCCGCACATATCCGTGATACGTTTCCATTGTGAAGGTGTGTAACGTGATGTGATGTTATGTGAAAGAGATATTCCGCACAAGGGCGGGAGGTTAAAAAGAAGTTTTGGGGGTGATGGATCCAGATCCAGTGTCCTGGGTAGGTTCTCAGCGTCTTTATAAATAAGGGCCTTGTGAGAACCAAGCAAGCTCTGGCTTGTTTGTACGCGGCACCCCACTAGATCAGATCGAGCCAGGGCGTGGGCGTGTGAAAGCCGAATGTGCGAAGGTGACTCCACAAGGGCTGAGGGTTGAGCGGAATTTTGTCCACGTATCCACCTGTGGAAGTGGGCTCGTCCTTGGCGTTCCTGAGAGCGTTGGGGCTTATGATAGTGTTTATTTGGTCTTGGTAAGGTGACAAGGCTAAGTAGGTTTGTTAGTCTTGTGCCTGCAATGTATATGCGTGAAGCAGTAGATAGATGATGTGTGAGTGCAGGTGTCAAGTATCTTGGTAGAGTAGTAGAGTGTATGTGAAGAGAGAAAAGGTTGCAAGGGGATAGAATCAAGATATGAGTTGCACACCGGTGATCATATATAATCCCCAAAACAAGGTCGTAAGGGAAACCACAACGCAACGGTACAGTGACACACTCCAAGCCCACATCCCAGGGGTTTGAGGCTCGACTCCCTGGCGGGAGTGCCGTCGGAGCCGATTAAGTGGATGATCCACTCGACTAAAATTTCCCTTAGATTGAGTATTTGCCGCTTGGCGATGTGCATCATGAACTCGTCGGATGTAGTAAGATGGACCAAGCAATCTCGCAGGTGCTCGACTTGACTTGACTTGACTCAACTCGAGCCAAGACCCAGCTTGCGATTCAGATCAGGACCACGCCATGAGAAGCAATCACACACGCACAAGAGTCGATTGCGGCTCTCAGGCGCCCCAGAGAAACCCGGTTTAGTGAACACAACGGTCCCACGAGTGCTTCCAGGACACTTGATCCATGCACCAAACCGCCTCACCTGGGAGGAATTGCGCCGGATGCACCGAGTACCAGAGGCATAGGAAAAAGACACAAGATCTGAGACGGAGACAAACATACCTATCAAGGAGTCTGTAGTTGCTCGAGAGCCACGGCTTGCTGCGTTTGTCGTCGAGTTGGTGAAACCGATGATTTGCTACAAGAAGCGAGCGAGCATGTAATGTCGGAGTGGAATGTCAAGTCAAGAAAGATTATTAGAGAGAATTGTTGTTCTTGCTGTTCAGAAACAGGTCAGCAGGGTTTAATGAACCGTGTCCTCGGACAAGACGGGAAGACAGGGAGGGGCCAAGAGCAAGATAAGGTTGCAAAGGCAAGTCAGAAAAGGGAATCAGAGGCCTGGAGGCGTAAAGTCGGTGGTGGATAACTCGGCGACGACATGGCCGGGAGTGTGGAGAAGCACGGAGGACGGCAAAGAAGGAGGGTGTGAAGAAGTCAAGGGGATGGTGTGCAGGTAGATGGGCACTGCCTAGGGGTGAGATTGAGAGCGTCTAAGACTCGTCTAAGCTTAGGTTGGTCAGGACAAGCTTTTGAAGCTGGCCCACCACCAAGGGGCTTTTGGGAAAGATGACGATGCAGGGCCAGGGCAGGGTCGGGTCCAGAAAGGGCATGATAGGTGTGAGAAGGAGGGAAATGCATGACAGATCACGGCTATCGGATCAGTAGTGGGAGGTTGTAGCATGAGCACAGGAATGAGGTATCCGTGGATGGAGGGACTTGTGGTTGTGACTGACAGCCACTTGTGTGTGTGTTTGTGTTGTTTGCAGGTTCATCAGACAATAAATGCAATGCAGTGCTTATTCTGCGTAGAATTAAGAAGCTTACCCGTATGATAAAGGTCCGTCACACGCTGGCGTTGATAGCAGAGAGTCTGGAACCTCGAACGACTAGCTGAATCTACCAGTAGCGGGAGATAGAGTATAGTCGTGGGGGAGGCGCTCCCAGGCGATTCTAATGTGCGTCGGCGACGTTTCGGTGCGCCCGTCTGACCGGCTTGATTGTTTCGCTGTTTCTGAGAGTCCAAGGTATCGTGATACGGGCGGGGACATACTACTAAAGTAGGTATAATTAGAGCTGAACCCTTTGCCATGTATCCGAGTTGGCGCAGGTGAGGTCTGAGGTCTGAGGTCTTTTCGTTATCGATACGAGATGGAGCGTTAGGGTTTCGAACTATTGAGAAGCGAGTCGAGGGGAAGGTGCAAGGGAAACGCAATCACTCGGATAGACGGCTCGAGA